TTTGGGGAGTAAGGATTGTGTCTTGTTCAGCAAAATCCCTGGATCACAGATTGTCAATAAGTGTTTGTCAAATGACTAACTGATAGCACTGGAAGAAACAGCAAAGTGGCTACAAGAAGGCAGAGCAGTATACACCAGGGGCATTCAGTGCTCAGGCAAACAGACACTGAATCCTTCGTGGCTCCCCAGGGTGTCTCATTGTGGATGCTGTAATAATGTGCTCAGAGCCTCCAGGAACTGGTTGGCTCCGCAGTTCTCTAAGTCAGAAGGTGAAGTTGGGTGTAACACACTGACTTCCATTTAAGGAAGTAAAAGTAACCATTTAAAAAAAAGTTCTGGTGCTTTGTCATGGGGGGGGAACCTTTAGCTCTCCTTATAATTTGGATATCTGGATCAGCCCAGTCCCTGAGGGTTCCTCAGTAGTAATCATCTTTCTTTCCTCTGGCTATCCTGTACTCCATTTTCTTGTGTTCTCTGTCAGACTAGGAAAGCTGGGTCATTTGGCATTTGATGAAAATTCATTAATCATTTGAGAAGTCTACTGCTTTGAGGAATGGGTGGAACAAAGTATCAAACTGGATATACAGTGAGATCTCAAATGCAGACTATGTATATATACATATATATACGTATAGTATAACTCATATAAATACATGAAATCTCCATTCATTCTCTGTGAGGAATAACCCAAAATGTGAACATGGGTTTTATTCCTGGGATAATGAGTTTCTTTATTTTTTATGCTTTTTAATACTTTCTAAAATGATTTTGAGTGGGATGGGAGGGTTTTTTGTTGTTTGTTTTAGCAATCAGGGCTAGCAATAAAAGTCACTTTGGAAAAGAGAGAGCGCGTGATTTGGGGCTTTTCAGTAACGAAGCTGTCGCTTCAAGGGAGGAACCCGGCTCCTCTCAGCCTCAGGCGTCAGTCCCCTCCGGGGCACCCCGCAATCCCTCCATCCTCTGTGTCTGAGAGAGGACATCTTCCTCTCCCCAAGTCCTTGTCGCTTGTCCTGTCGCCGCCTGGGCTCCCGCATTAGCAGCCAGCTGGGAGCGAGCGCTGCCGTGGCCACTGTCCAGTGGTCCCCTCGCCCCGGGCGGGCGGCAGGATGTTAGAATTCTTTCCATTTCCTTTCATACCCTCTCCGTGAGCTCGAGCTTGCTGGTAGAAGCTGACAGCTCAGCTTTTTGGTGTGTGGGTTTCTTCCTTACTGACCCATGTTTGCATAACTTCTCAGGGAGTCTATATAAGGTAAGGTCAGCCTTAGAGCGAGCTGCAATCATGTCGTGCTCTGGGGCAATTTCCTCCCCTCTTCTTCCTCCTTTCTTTTGTCTTGCTCTTAAGTTCAGTGTTGGGTGGTAATTATGAAATGATGAGTTCTCTCTCCTTTTTCTTTCTGTTGACCAGCAGACATGTGGTGGGCGCCCACTCTGTGCCTGGCCCTGGGGGAGTAACAAGAACTGGACAGATAGGAAAGTAGCTAAAAAGATCAGGAGGACGTGCACCAACAAGTTTCCCTAGGTGTGACTTAGGGTGTTCACTTAGGGTTATAGGTGGTGAGACACTTCTTTTTGCTTATTTGTACTTCTAATTATTCTATGTTTAGTATGTTTTGTGTGTAACAAAAAAAATCGTTCAAAGCATTTGCAGAAGTGTGTGAAAGTTGCACACTGCTTGGCCCATTGCGGATCCTCAGTCCCCTCTGGGTTTGTCCTCCAGCCGGGACTGGCTTTGGGGGCAGGCGGAGGGGAACTCTAGGATCCCTTTTGGGAGAAGGTGGGGGGCCCTCGATCAATGTGGATCCTGTGTTGGGTCACCCTGGTGAGAATTGATCAGAATCTGCCCCTCAGTGATTACCTGAACCTCGGGAGATTTCCAATCTGGGTGGGAGGGGTGGGGAGGGCAGGGGGAGTCCTTGAGAACTTGGTGGGGATTATATGCTGTTCATAGTTTTTGGAAGAATATTAGAGCGGCTCATCCTTGTGGCCTTGGTGAGTCCAGAGAAGTCTGAATTCCCCCTTTTTTCTTTATCCCTCTTCCCATGCCCTTTTATGGTCATCTCCCCCTCTTTGTGTCATTATATTTCCTCCCATGTCCCCTTGCTATAACTGCTTAGCATCACACCTTTGGTCCTCCTGCCTTCCCTCTCTCTTCCTATATCCCTCCCTCCTTTATAGCCCTGGACAGAGAGTGCAGGAGGAGAGAAGAGATGGAGCGAGGAGACCTGGATGGGGAGGAGGTGAGGCATAGTAAAGGCAGTGGACAGGAGAGAAAGAAAGGAAATGCAGGATCTCGGAGGGGTGTTAGAGGAGAGCGAGGGAGGACGGGGCTGCAGAGGAGAGAATGCAACGTGATGACAGCCAGCATTTCTGAGTGCTTACTCCGTGCTGGGCAGTATCCCAAGAACTTTACGTGTGGTGACTTACTGCTGTGAATTAACTGACTTAGTGAATGAAGATGAGGAGCCTTGAAGAGAGGACATTGAACCGAGGGGCCCTGCCTAGGGCTTCTCGGTCCCGAGGGATCTGTAAGGGTGGCGGGATTGGCTGGTCCAGGAGCTCTTCCAGATTGATAAACCATCACTGGCCTCTGACAAGGCTTCACAGATCAACCAAAGGGTCAAGTTCATTTGGGAGTGGAGTTTTATTAACACCATGTGAGGACCAAGGGGAGGGTGTCACAGTCCCTCACGGGGACACCTAACGTGCAGGAGACCTGGGCTTGGAGCTCACGGCGCCGGCCAGAAGGCAGCAAACAGTGGTGTCGATAGTCCTCGGGGACGGCGCTCCTGCCCTTGCTTTGTCCCTGGCTGACGTCTCCCCTGGGACGGGCCCTGTGTGATTTTATGATGCACTGGGAGTCCTGGTTAATGATGGCTTATGTCAAGTAGATGATCTAGAGGCAACAGAAAGAACTCCCTGACACCCAGTGCCGAGTTCAGAGGCTCTTTTTCTGAGTACCACTCTTTGCCCTGTCTTGGGCTGTGGGGTTTGGGCGGAGGGAGACTCACTGGGGGCCAGTCCCAGTGGTCTTTGGTGGTGAGATGCTCGGGAACCATGCCTAGATACCTCGAATTCTGTAGATTATACTGTTGAGAAGCGAGGCCATAGGAAGCTCCTTGACATGATCACTTCCTTCAAATGAAAGGGGTGTGGGCGGGAAGGAAGAGGGTGGGGGCTGAACTGTGAGCACTTCAGCGTTTCTGCCGGGAGACTTGTCTCGCCCTCTTTCCCTCCAGGGATGGAGTGCTTTCCCCCTGCTGAGAGCCTCACTGTTTCCTCTTCTCACATCTTTCTCTAGGTCAGTGGTTCTCAAGCCCTGGAGGCATCAGAATCCCCCTCGGGGCTTGTTCAAACCCGGTTTCCAGGCCCCGTTCCTGAGTTTCTGAATTCACATTTCTCATGAGTTCCTGGGTGATGCTGACGCTGCTGGCCCAAGGACTCTCACTTTGAGAACTGCTGCTCTGGACTTAACTAGTTCTCCCTCGGGCAGGGAAAGGGTTGCCTGGCTCCTCATCGCTTCACCTCTCTGAGCCCCAGTTTCTTTATCTGTAAAATGGTACTGTGAGCAGAGCTGACCTCACAGAGAGGTTGAGATGGAGAAATGTGCGAAATTGTTTAAATGCTTAGAAGGGTGCCTAGTACATCGTAAGCGCTCAAAAATGGTGGCCTGTCATCCTCAGGACCCTTACTGGTCTTATCTGTACCGCCAGTGCTAAGCACTGTGCTTGGCATGTAGTGGATCCTCAAGAAATACTCATGGAACGAGTGATGAAATGACTGAGGAGTGAGCGTTAAGACACAGAACACCAGCAAAGAAGGCAGAGGCAGGGAGGCTGTCCGTTGGGTTTGGCTGTTAGGAGGCCACTGGGGACCTCCAAGTGCAGTGTCACAGAAGAGGTGGGGATAGAGAAACAGCGACCATCCCCATCAGCCAAGCCCTTCACGTCTCAGTTTTTCATTGAATCCTCACAACCACCCTATGAGGAAGGTGAATGACCCATTTTGCAGATGCGGAAACTGAGGCTTAGAGACATTCGGGAATTGGTCTGTGTCACAGAGCTGGTACCCAGTGGGGCTGTGCTTCTAATGGATTCCAGAACTTGGACTCTTAACCTGGACGTGGTAGAGCAGAAGGTTGAGGATGAACGGCCGAGGGAACAGCAGGTGTAGACAGCTGTGCTGAGAGGGAGCAGCAGGTGTAGACATCTGTGCTGAGCCTCACAGAGGAGCTCGGGGTCTGTCTCCTGGTGCGAGTGTTTGGGTAAGGTCTGGGGCCCAGCTTTCCCGCTGGGGTCATCCAGAGGGCACCCTCCGCTCCTCACTCGCAGTCTGAAAAGATGTGCCGTTGGCCCCATTGGGGACCGAGTGGAGCCGTGGGGGTGACAGCAACCTCCAGAACTGGCCTTCTTCTGGCCAGTGTTGCCATCATAGTGTACGTGTGCACACACACGCACGTGCATGCACGCACCCAGGCACACGCACGCACACACATACACATGTGCGTCTGTGATGAGGTCTAGCTGTGCCTTTCAGTTGACACACCCACGAGTGCGTCTGTGTTGTGCTGTACGGTTTGTTCAGAGGGGGAAAGTAGCCCAACCAGCGACTCAGAACTAGAACTTCCTCCTGCCCAGGCCAGTTTGAGGTCAAAATGGGCTTAGAGCCTCCTTCAGGGCGAGTGAGGGAGAGAGAGGCTGCAGGTCTGCGTGGGCAGCCACGAAAATGTTGCTCAGACCAACAGGTTTTTCATCTCGGAATCAGCTGACGTTTCAATGTCGTGCCAGATCTTAGCGGCAAACGACTGTAAGCATAACGTGACTCTTGGATTTTGAAAGATGGCAGCAATCTCGTCGGCCAAACCCTTGTCAGATAAGCACCGCACAGCCACCCAGGAAAACAGTCCCTCCTGCCACGATCATTTAAATGACATCAGCCTGCAGTTCTGGAAAGTCTGTAAAGGTCAGGCTCCCCGTGTCCTTGGAAGTGGGGGTGTGCTTTACTTATTCTGCATCTGTCTTGTGCCAGGTCCTGGGCTGGTACTTGGGGCATGTGGTTTGCAACTTTCCCACGGTGGGGCTTTGGCCAGTGATGGGGCCCTTGCGATCCACATGCAGTCACGGGAACCCAAAGGCCAGACTGACCGATGTGGAAATGGGGAATAGGGTGGTTGCCGTGGAAACAGACTGCCGGCCTTTGGCTTGTGTTGCCTCTGCATTAAGGCGCTAACAAGTCAGGAGGGAGGCATCTGATGTGTGGCCCCACCTCCCCCTCAGGTCCAGGCAGCAATTTAATTAAACACTTGGGTGCTGGTTTTCCTTTTCCTCCAATAACACCACTCAAAACAGCACGCTGGCTTCCCAGACATGGCCGTGAAAGCTGGGAGGTGCTCAGGAGCTAACGGGCTTCTCCCCCACGCACTGTCTGCATCCGCCGGCCCCTGTGTGCATTTCAGTTCCTCAGTCCCGTCAGCCTCATTTCCTGTGCTCACTGTCCACCTAGCAGCTCCACCCTGGGCTACAGCTTCAGGGAGAAGATTCTACCAGGTTGGGCCCAGCAGGTTTCCCAGTGTTCTTGTTTAATCCTCATCGTCGACTCAGGAGGGAATTCTTGTTTAATCCTCAGCGTCGACTCACGAGCGAGGTATAAATTCACCCCAATTTGGAAACATCCCTGCTGTCCATCAGCAGATGAATGGGTGAACAGAATGTGGCATATCCATACAATGGAATATTATCCAGCCATAAAAGGAATGAAGGACTGACCTCCCTCCAATGTGGGTGAACCTTGAAAACATGCTGAGTGAGAGAAGCCAGACACAAAAGACCACACAGTGTGTGAGTCCATCTGTGTGAAATGTCCAGAACAGGCAAATTCAGAGACAGAAAGTGGATTAGTGGTTGCTTAGGGCTGGGGGAGGGGGGCTGGGAAGTGACTGCTGGTTCGTGTGGGGTTTCTTTTTGGGGGTGATGAAAATGTTCTGGAATTAGATAGGGGTGATGGTTGCACAACATTGTGAGTGTACTAAATGCCACTGAATTGTACTCTTTAAAATAAAGTGGTGAATTTTATGTTATGTGACTTTTACCTCAATAAAGAAAAAAAATGGGAGGGACAGAAAGAATTACCCTATTTTACAGATGAGGCAGCTGAGGCTGGGATGTTTGGCGATTAAATCAGAGTCCCTGGGGAGTAAGAGATGGAGCTTGCACCCCACATGGGAATCCCCTGGACCTCTTCCTTACTTCCCATGGCCAGTCGGTCACCAAGCCCTGTCGATTTGGCCTGTGAAGTGTCTCTGAGACACTTTCTTCTCTGTGCCCACTGCCTTGTCACCCACTGACCCCCTTGGTCGGGTCCCACAGTGGGCACCCACCAGACTCCCATGGCCGGGTGGAAGCAGTTCCCCAAGGAGGGGGCGCTGGGCAGACACACCCGAGATGTCCCCACGCTTGGCTTTGTCATTGTTTTCACCTTGGACACATCACACGACCTCTGAGCCTCATCTATCAAACAGTGATCTGGGTGTTGATGAAGGTGATGATGGTGCTGCCCCCCCATTGCCCACCTCACAGCATTGTTGTGAAGACCAAATGGGATAGTCAAACATACACATGTCTCATAAACCGAAGGCTGCTGTGCCACGTGAATGGTGGTCAGGGTCTGTTTCCTTTAAGACATGAGTCTTTGGAGTCCCTGGCCCGGAGTGTAGAGTTTGAGTCACAGTCGTGGCCTCTGAGAACTGTTTCTTCACTCCCCTGGGAGAGGTGGTCACCCGTTAGACGGTGCAGCTTGCTGTCCAGCATGCGCTCAGGCTGTGAGGTACTGGCCAGGCAGTGAACTTCGTCACTCCACACCGTGTCTCCATCACACGCAGAGGGCTTGTGGCCTGGGGTCTTGGTGTAAACCTCCACATTGTGTGAGATTCAGCATGGAGGCACACATGGAGGCACCTAGGATTCTAGAAAGATTCTAGGAAGAAAGGCACCTTGATTTAAAAAAAATAGTAAAACCTCAAAACGTGGTTCTTTGAGCAGGAGCGTCAGCCTCACCTGGGAGATGCTTAGAACTGCAGTCTCCACGGCCCCATCCTGGACCTGCTGAGTCAGAACCCACATTTTAGCAAGATCCCCGAGTGATTCAGATACACAGGAATGTTTGAGGAGCACTGCTCTGTGGTGTCATTGGGTGCCTGAGAAATCCCACAGCCAACAGCCAAAAGCCGTTTGAGAACATAAGAGCTGAGCAGAGCAGCAAGTGCAAGATGAATAACCCAACCAGCAGCATCCCCACGTGCCAGCCATCCCCAGTCAAGGGTTGTCATGAGATCTCACTGATAGTTGCAATTAAAATATGAAATATGTAGAAATTAAGCGAGTAAGGATATGTGATTTCCTCAACGAAAGCACAGAATTTTGGTGGAAAACACAAAGTGGATCCCAATTAAGTGGGGACACAAACTGTGTCTAGACATTCATTCTCACCTGGGGGCGGTTCTGCCCCCCAGGGGACACTGGGCAACGTCTGGAGACATTTCTAGGTGTCATGACTGGGTTGGGGGTGTGATACTGGCGTCTAGTGGGTGGAGGCCAGGCGTGCTGCTCAGCATCCTACAGTGCCCAGGACAGCCCCCCATAAAGGACGACCCGGCCCCAAGCGTCAAGAGTGCTGAGGTGGAGAACCCTGGTCTATCCTCATGGGACACACACACACACACACACACACACACACACACGTACGTCACTTTAAAAACTCAAGAATGTCACATAACATTTTGGGAACACAGAGCAGTGGAGGACGGGGATCTTAGCACAGTGGATGGTGGAAGAGATTCTAAAGTGACAATAATGAAAATGATGTGGTCATCAAACAAACATAAGTGTAGATGAAGGGAACAGAGTGGCCCCTAGAGTCATTGTTTTTTTTTTTTGTGAGGAAGACTAGCCCTGAGCTAACATCCGATGCCAATCCTCCTCTTTTTGCTGAGGAAGATTGGCCCTGGGCTAACATCAGTGCCCATCTTCCTCTATACAGGATGCCACCACAGCATGGCTTGACAAGTAGTGCGTCAGTGCACACCCAGGATCCGAACCTGGGAACTCCAGGCCGTCGAAGCAGAGCGTGCGACCTTAACCGCTATGCCACTGGGCCGGCCCCCCCCCAAGTCATTTTAATAAAAACGAATATATAAGATACAACAATCATAACACACCCAATGGAAAAATATCAGACTTCTTTATTGGCCTGATTGTCTAGCATAAGCTAGCCGTGCCCGTGGACCTGGAGCTGTACCCGGGCCCAAATAAGGGCTTTGCTTGCTTTGTCTGTCTGTGCCTCCCACCCTCCCCTAGCCCGGGTCCCATCTCTCCCGTGCGGCTTTCCCAGTCCAGGTAGGGCCTCGACGACTGGGGATAAGAGGAGTTGAAGGACTTCTGCTCCCCAAATAAGATCCAGAATCTGAGCCTTGGCTGTGTGAAGAGAGGGGAGGGTCGCAGGTGCAGCAGCCAGAGGCCTGGGTTCAAATCCCAGCGTGGCCTCCAGCTGCCTGTGTGGCCTGGAGAGTGACCCGTGACGTCTCTGAACCTCCGTGTCCATCTGTGACATGGGCATCAAAGCCTGTGGTGATGGTGTGGGGTTTAGGAGGGAATGTGGCAAGGTCAGTGTTGGGCCCTGCTGTGCCACTCAGGGCGCACTCGTGGCTCACGGCCCCTCCTTGGGGACTCGTGGTCTTGGGGTGTTTTAACCGAGCACCACTCCCTCTTTTTGCCCTTGGCTGCAGATGACATCCGGCTGTTCGCCTTCGTGCGCTTCACCACCGGGGATGCCATGAGCAAGAGGTCCAAGTTCGCCCTCATCACGTGGATCGGCGAGAACGTCAGCGGGCTGCAGCGAGCCAAAACCGGCACGGACAAGACCCTGGTGAAGGAAGTCGTGCAGGTGATTGTCTCTGTGTTCTCTTAGGGTCTGGGGGTCACACCCCACAAACGGGCACCATCCAGCCGGGTCAGAGAGGGCTGGGCTTGGCTCCTGGGTCTTTGACTTAGATATGACTTCAAATGTGCCATGCCAGGTCTCTGGACCACTAGAGCCACTGGGTGACACGTTACTAAGGTTGTTTTCAGGGTGCGGGCTAGGAGGTGGGTAGCTGCATTTGTGGTCCTGACCATCACGTGATAGAAACATGGCGGCTGGGAGTCTCCCTTTGAGGGTCAGGCAGAGGCAGTTCATGGAGGAGGGGCTGGAGGGATGACCAAAAGGGCGGCCACTCCCTGGTTGAATCATGATTAACTTCCAGTGGTGGCCATGAGGACCCAATGGGAGAATTCATGCGTGCCCTCTCTGAACAGTGTCTGGCACACAGTAGGTACTCATGATACTTGTTGAATGAATAGATGTCAACCTTATGTCAACTTTATGAGGGCCAGTGGGGGTGTTATGATTTTGGTGGCCATAGAATGACAAAGGCCATGTCACCAATGGCCCAGACGCCTGGGCAGGGCAGCTGGCCCCTGGCTGTGGCTGACTTCCTCCCCAACCCCATTAGACTGGGAGGAAGGAGGAGAAGGTGGACCTATGCTTGGTTTTGTCTCTCAGCTCCTGAACAGTTCTACGTGTAGAGCTCTCTATTTTAAAGTTTTTTTCCATTCTGGACATAACAAAAATTGACACTATCAGAAACCTCCAAGGTGGTTCATTTGGGGCTGGCGCATGGGATCGTACTGAGAAAAGAAAATTTGAATTCCAGAGAGATCACCAGGAGAAGGGAGGTGAGGGAGAGAGTTGTCTCCTTGCCCAAAGGGTTCTCCATTTTGCAAAAGGATTTCTCAAAACCCGGGGTCGGGAGGTAGTGGCTCACGGGTACGGGGCTTTTTTTGAAGGTGATGGAAATACTCTAAAATTGACTGTGGCGATGGTTGCACGTATCTGCGAATATATTAAAAGCCGTTGAATTGTAAAAAACAAACAAAACACACACACACAAAAATAGGCTGTGTGCCATGTGGAATTCTGGATTGGATCCTAGAACAGAAAAACTGGTGAAATGGGAATGAAGTCTGGAGTTTAGTTGATAGTAACGTTCCTGTGTTGGCTCCGTAGTTGTGACAAAGGTACCACAGTATCATACGACGTTAACAGTTGTGAAAACAGCCTGCGGGGTATATGGGAACTCTCGGTACTGTCTCTGCAATTTTTCTGTAAATCTAAAACTGTCCCCAAATAAAACTTTGATTTAAAAAATAATAATAGGAAAGAAAAAAATTCCTATCATTCCATTATCATGGCCTGTTTTTCCATCTTCCCTCCCAGCCGCGTGGGCGAGCTCACCCACCTCTGAGCCGTGCCGCAGTCACAGCCTGCAAATCACGCTCCTCTTGGCTTCTTTTTTTTCTGTCTTACTTAACATAATTTCATAAATTATGTGGCTGCAGAGTCTTTGTGATGAACATTTTTCTGGTGGCTGAGTGTCCCATTTCACAAGTGCACTGTAATGTCCTAAATGCTCCCTTGTTGTTGGCCTCTTGAGTTGCTTCCAAGTTTTATTTTTGTAAATAATGTTGCAACCAACATTTTAATCCACGCAGCTCCTATCTGAATTATTTCTTTAGAATACATTTGCAGGAGGTGGGGTTCCGGAGTTAATAGGCATGATGATCATTTTAAAAAGGTGTGAGGGGGCTGGCTCGGTGGTATAATGGTTAAGGTCGCACGCTCTACTTTGGTGGCCTGGGGTTCGCAGGTTCGGATCCTGGGGACGCACCGACGCACCGCTTGTCAAGCCATGCTGTGGCGGCGTCCCATGTGAAGTAGAGGAAGATGGGCACGGATGTTAGCCCGGAGCCAGTCTTCCTCAGCAAACAAGAGGAGGATTGGCAACAGATGTTAGCTCAGGGCTAATCTTCCTCACCAAAAAAAAAGGGCTGGGGTGTCAGATTACCTTCCAAGAGGGTTAGCCCCATGCGTGGACATAGTAAATGCTGAGTAAACGTCGTTTACTTCACCTCCTCATCAGCATTACTGGTTAGCACCGCTGTCTGCACCGTGTCCACCACCGACACCCTGGCTTTGCGAGGCCACCTATTCAACCCTACGGGCTATTTTTCTCCAGGCCAGTTTGAGTTTTAATGGTTAACACTTTTAGAGGTCTGCTTTGTGGCGGCAGAATGGAAAATGCAAAAGAATGCATGTTCCATGGCCAAAGGTCTACTTAATTCTACCAGCTACGCTTAGCCCTCCGCTGGTCAGCCTGGACGTGGCCAGGAGAAAAAGGGACACAGGGAGGAAGTGTTCGCCAGGATGCCTCCGGTGGGGGGAAGAGGGGGCAGTCTTTCAAATCTTTCAGAGCTCCTTTTTCTTTTCCATTTTAAAAATGGTGGCAGAATACAATAACATAAAATTTATCATTTTAGCCATTTTAAAGAACATTTTAAAGTATACAATTCCATGGCCTTAAGTGTATCCAGTGTTGTGTAATTATTACCATTGTCTAGTTCCAGAACTTTTCCATCACCCCCAAAGGAAACCCTGTACCCATTAGCAGTCTGCAGAGTTCCTCTTAAATTGAGAACTCTTCTCAATTTGGTTAAGTGGGCCAGTGACTGAGGGTGACTTGGAAATATGATATTTTGGTGGGGACCTTCCGTTGGGAGTGTTGGTTATAATTCATTTGTTTGCAAGCTCAAATACTTGAAGCAGAAAGGGGAACTGCCTGGCTCTCTGAACTGGAAAGTGCAGGGGTTTCCAGCTTTAGGTGTGGCTGGGTGAAGGGCTCAAGCAATATCTTCTTCTCATCTGGCTTTTTGTGGGTTGGGCCTCAGGTGGCCTCTGTCCAGCAGGAGGAATGGTCCAGGCTATGGTGGTTCTTCTGAGTCTTGATCTGAGGGTAGAGAGCCCTCTTCCCTCAGAGTCATCATTCCCTTAAAGGACCCCCCTGGGCCCAGCTTACGTCACATGCACATCCTGTGGGGCAGGGAGGCGGAGCTTCATGATTGGCAGCTCCAGCACGATGCCAGTTATTAAAAGAAAGGGATGCTGGTAAATGGAAAAGCAGGGGCGCCATCTTGAACTGCAGGTGCCATGTAATATTTTGACCATTACTTTTGCATTTTCCACCTCTGCATTTAAAAAGCTTCATTATTTGAAGTTATTACAAGACCTCATGTTTATTCTACAGTTACAAATACAGCCATTTAAGTTGCAAAGGGTGAATTATGCTGGCATAACGGTGTCTTTCGACAATCACTAAAATCATGCTGATCTTGGCACGTGTGTTAATTTTTCCCTCTGTTTAATGGGGACTCGGACCAGGTGTTTGCTAAGGGGCCTTCCAGATGGGCCGTTCTGGGTTCCATGTCTTGGGGACTGGATCACAAGTCCAGTGGGGATAAAATCCCTTTTACCACGATTTCCATGTGAAGAAGAAGTGTATTGACTTCTGGTTTAAGATTACTAACACACCCTTAGCTTTTATTGTAATGAAAGCCATATACCCACATCCTTTACTTTGTATAAAACACAGAGAATGTAAATGGATGTAGAGACACTGGAATCTAGAAAGGTGGGTCTTTATGCTACCCCCCTGACTGCAGGTGAGTCTCTCTCCCTTCCTGGGCCTCCGTTTCCCCATTTATAAAGTGAGTTGGATGAGTTGACTTGCTGTGTCATATTCCGTTGTGACTCACTCTGACATTTTTTCCTTTTTTTTAAACGGGGACTTTGTTTATGAAGGCATCTTATCTTTAAAGGAACCTTATTTTCCTTTGTCGGACGAAGAGACAGTGCAGTGTGATGGCCTGGAATGTAGCCTTCTGAGCCAGATGGCGAGGGTTCAGATTACAGCTCCGCCACTTAATGTGTGGCGTTGGGCACAGTGCTTACCCTCTCTGGGCCTCAGTCCCCTGAAGTCTCAAACAGAGGTGATGTAGTATCTGCCTCTTAGGGTTGTTGTGGGGATAAATGGGCAAATAAAGGGGAAGTGCTTAGATTAGAACTGCGTCTGGTGAAGACCTGGAAGCAGCAGCTGTTGTCGTTTTCGGTTTTCCACTGTAGACAACACTGTGATGCACAGCTTTCCACACTGTGGAGCATTTCCTTAGGAGAGGGTGGGTCCCCGTGTTGATCCACATCGCCTAATTGTCTTACAGATGGCTTGGACTAAGTCACAGCTGTCAGCAGCACAAGAAGGTCCCCGCCTCCCCCACCCTTGCCGGTGCTTCAAACAAGTCATCCTCACCCGGGGCTGGCCTCACAGGTGCATCAGCATTTGGGGAAACTGAGGCCCAGAGCAGTGACAGGACTTGCCCCAAACCCACAGCTAACAAGCAACAGGGCCAGGGCTGGAGCCTGGAGAGGTTAAAGGTCAGGAGGTTCAACCCCGGGTCTCTTCAGTCTGTTCAGAGCCAGGCTGAGACACTGAGAGGTGTCTGTGGCCGCGTCTGGGGAAAACAAGACAAAACAAGGCACGCCAGCACGGCCGCGGCAGCAGAGGCTGGGTGGTGGTGACACCCGGACTTGAGCCCCGGGAATGCGCCGAGTGGACGGCATGCGTGGCTGCCGTCTCTGCTGCACAGAGGTGCCTGGCCGGGGCCGGGGACAGAACACCCGTCCCATTGTTCTGGCGCCTCTGTGGGGTTACGGGGACAATGCTGTCACCACCGTTAGAGACCTGCCCTTGCCAGGCCAGACCGTCCTGATTTAGAGCAGACTCGGTCAGGGGTGCATCGTGCTTGCCTTGCAGGATGACTTTATTCACGTGATCCTTTTATTTATTTTTTAACATCATATGAATGTTCACAGAGCCAAGTAGCCAGAGGGTACATCTCAGCTTTCAGCGCTGGGGAAAGCGAACAGCAGAGTGTTTCCTCCAAGGAGCAGTGGAGGTGGGAAGGACAGACATTCAGTGACGGAGTGGAACTGTCAGCTCGGTGTGCATTCTGATCGCTTCTAAACCAGGAGCAGGGGCGGCTTCCATTCTGGACCTCCTCCCACCCCCAGGGCCGGGACCAGATGTACCTACCACTCCTCCGGGAGGGTCACGTGTGTACCAGTGTGGTAATAATGTTGATAACAGTAGTTTTATTGTGCCCTATCATGTGCCTGGCACTTTTAAGGACTTTCCACATATTGAAATCATTTATTCTTCACAAGGCCAGTTCTGTCATTAGCGCCATTTTATAGACGAGGAGCCTGGGGCCTGGGAAGTTGAGTAACTTGCTTGAGGTTCCAGCGCCTGGACATGGTGGAGCTCTGCCTGCAGCCCAGACCGTCCGGCCCCAGAGCCCCGACTCACACACTTCACCCCTCTGTGCGTTTCCCCAAGTCCTCCAGCACCAGGAAAAATACTCTGAGCCACATGCATTTTGGAAACTCTACTTTTGTAGACTCATGTTGCACAGGGCACGTTAAAGGCTCTGAGAAGTTCTGTAGGAAACAAACCTTTTACATTTATTTTTAAATTTCCTGGTTCTCCATCTTCCTTCATGGTAGAACCTTTGTTTTTTCCAAACTGGAAACTGAACATCATTGCTCAGTGCTTATTAAAAAAAATCCTGCTGTGTCAAATGGAAAAGATCACGGGCATAGGGGGAGTGAGACCCAAGCTGATACTCCAGCTGCCTCAACTCTTTGTTTTAGGACCTTGGGCAAGTAACTTCATCTCTAGAATCTGTTTTTACTTATGAAGAAGGGAGTGTAAATTTTCATAGAGTTGTTGGAAGGAGTAAAGAAAAGCAAAGAGTGTGAAGAGGGTTTCTCCATTTTAGTGAGTGGTGAACTCCAATTCATCCTGCAAAACCCTGATTCTTTACCTTATTCTCCTACCAGCCTCCATCAGAATTGATTGCTCCTTTGTCTGTGTGTCTACTATGATCCAGATTCCGTGAATTATAATTGACCCTAGAAAGTAATCTCGAGGGCAGGGACCATGGCTGCTTTATTACATAGTACTCCTCGTGCCTAGAAGAATACTAAAACAGGTGCTAAAAAGTGAAGAAATGAATCTGTTTGCAGAGGCTCTAGACTGTCTCTTATTCTTTGTGTATTCCTGGACAGATGCTAGTAAATGTTTAATAACTGTTCTTTGGGTTGATTTAACTGTGGAAGCCAGTTGCAGTCAGGGAGGGATTTGGGGCTGGGTTGGGCTTTCCAGAGGCTCTGCTTTTGTAACAATAGAAAGCAGAAGTGAGAGCTGGTAGGGTCAGCCGGGAGAACCCCGCACCTCCCTGATGAGATTTTTTTTTTTTTTAAAGATTTTATTTATTTGTTTTTCCCCCAAAGCCCCAGTAGATAGTTGTATGTCATAGCTGCACATCCTTCTAGTTGCTGTATGTGGGACGCGGCCTCAGCATGGCTGGAGAAGCGGTGCGTCGGTGCGCGCCCGGGATCCGAACCCGGGCCGCCAGCCGCGGAGCGCGCGCACTTAACCGCTAAGCCACCGGGCCGGCCCCCTAATGAGATTTACAGGGCCGCCGCTCCCCCTCGCAGAGCCCGGTACTCGGGCACCAACCGTAGACACTCCATTGCTCTCCAGAGGGTTTCAGTATTTGTTTTCACGGGGCGTGTTGGTGCTTCTTCCAGCCCATGGTTCGTGGAAAGTCCCTTTATTCTTCTCAGAACCAGAAAGGGCC